TCGCCTGCCTGCGGGAGGGCGGGAGCGGTGCCCGCGGGGAAGCTGCTCCGGTTTGTGCTGCGCTGCGCTGGGGCTGGGCCAGGCCGGGCCGGGCCGGGCCGGGCCGGGCCGGCAGCCTGTGACCCCGGCCCCCCGTCTGTGGAAAGTCGTGAAGGCACCAGGGGCTGCAGGCGCCGCTCGGCCCCTGTCTGCCCACACTGAAGTCTCTGGGCAGCTCTCGAGCCGGGGAGTCAACCTCTCCGGACAGATGAGCAGTGCGGGGCTGGGCTAGGGTCAGTTCCCATGGGCTGGTGCCGCCCATGGGTGCCCCTTGCCCTAGCGGCTCTGGCCACGGAGTGACCCCACTGTGGGCAGACCTAGACTTCTGTGCATGGGGGTGCCCGTGGTGAAATGCATTCTGCCATAGAGTGCGACCCCTGGTTTTCTCCTGGTAAAAAGAAGCTTGAAGCATCAGTGACGCTCCAGGGGTCCAGGGCTGTGTTATGAGGTTTTAAGATTGAAGCAAAAACAAATGAAACATCATTGGGATGATCTAAAAGGCAATCTGCTGCGCTGTGAGATAGGAGGTTTGACACCAGGGGTAGGTGGCACAGCAGACTTGCAGAACAGGGGATAGTTTGGCAGGTGGAGCATGAAGGCTGTTAAAAGGAAAAGAGGATTTTTAACTTCTGTGGAGTGAACAGTTTAGAAAGGATCGGGCAGTTTATAATGAGCCGTGGAGTCGGTTGGCTCCCTTGGCCCTGCCTGACTGCAAATGTTGCTCTGCTGCTATGTGGTTAGTTTTAAATTTTGGGTGGCCCAGGAATCAAAGGAGGTGCAAGCATACCAGTGCAGCTCCTGTGGATCCATCCCTGGATCACGCGCCAGCAAGTGGGGTAGTATCATCTGACTTGTGGGACTCCTTGCAGGTCTGGAAGTTTGGTGGCAGGAGAGTGGTGGCAGCATTAATTGCAGTGACTTGGGAAACAATTAACACTGCTAATGCTCCCCCGCCCCCAAATTTCTGGGCCTGTGTGGAGCCCTATGGGCCAGATGACATGGTTTGTTGGGCTGGATTCATCCCACGGGCTGGAGGCTGAGCATCTCTGCTCTAGATTGATCTGTTCTCTTTCTGGTGTTTTGCCTTTTACAGAATAGAAATCATAATGTTTGCCTGTTTCTTCAGGTTTTATTTTTGAAAATTGTGCTTAAAATGCTTTGAAACTACAAAGTAATGACTGCATGAAACTTGTAGCTTATTTGATCTATATTAATTTTCTTGTCATGAAAAATTCACGTTTAAGTTGTTTGTGTTGTAAAGAAACATTAGTGACTTGAGTAGTTACCACCAAACTGACAGTCATGTTACAGGAAAAATTGTACCTACAAAGTTATGATACAAAATAGAGTTCTGCCATTCTCGCTTTTGTCTCTTTGTTAGTGTCTGTTTTCTATATCTGGTATCTCTACATGCATGATCAGTTTCTTACTAAAAAAAGTTAAGAGCTTTAACAGAAAAACAAGAGAATTAACTTTAAAATGCTCTGAACAGCATGCTGCCTTTTAAATCAAAATGGAAAAGTCAAATCAACAGTGTCTTTTTATTCATACTCGTGCATAAAAAGTACATGAGTTTGGTGCTGAGAAGATCAGGACCATAAATTGCACTGAGGGTTCAGTCTCAGCAAAACAATAAAGGCTCTTACCTTTTGATCTCACTTTTCACATTAGGTCCACTGTTGAGGGGTATCGGGAGTTTCTGGCTATGATGGGAAGTTTTATTTAAACAAACTTGTTAGCTTAACAGCATCAGACTAGTCGCCTTCATTTGAAACTGAGTTGGTTCTGCTTGACTCTAGTAGAAGCAAGTTGGGCCATGCTTTTTAAGAGGAATGGCTAGAGAGGGAATACCAGGAGCAGTTGAATTGGTGTTGGATTATAGAATTTTGATATGTAATTTCTGAATAAGATAAAACAGTGGAGATGCCTGATGGAAAGGTAAAAGTTTTGGCCTGAGATTTCTTGTTGACAGTAAAAATGTGTTACAGGATCAGGTAATGTGTGTTTCATTACAAATGATCTTTTTATAGGATATAGACTTAGAAACATACATTTCTATAGAGCAGTGTAAGCGACAGTGTAGTTGTAACAAAACAACTGATTCTTCACCTGTAAGTATCAATACTATAAACAGTATTTCACTTGAAGCTTGACAGGCCTAAAATGATATGTGGGAAACAAATCAGTTAAGCAAATAACTCGATATGTGTGAATTCTAAAATTTCTGTCTTAACAGTGTATAGGGACCTTAAGAAGAATTCTGTTTGCGTTTACACTTCTAAGAACAAATTGGGGCATGTTGTTCTGGATTGGCTATAGTTTAATCAATGACTTGTTAACAATGATTTTTTTATTAACGCACTTTTTTTTAACAGGTGTTTCTGTGTATGATACAGAAAAATGAACTCCACTATGAGTGAGGAGCCTGATGCTTTAGCAGTAGTTAACCAGTTACGAGATCTAGCAGCTGACCCATTAAATAGACGAGCTATTGTTCAGGATCAGGGATGTCTGCCTGGCCTTATTTTGTTCCTGGACCACCCCAACCCTCCAGTTGTTCATTCAGCTTTGCTAGTAAGTAATCTGATTTGATCAGTAGGGACTAAGGGTTGTGTTAATGGTGTGTTACTTGCATCTCTTTCTTTTTATGTATTTAAAAAGACAAATATTTGCTGTAACAAATTTTATGTGAGATTACTCTTGCTACTGTATTTTGCTTCATGATAAGTGCTATAAAAGATAATTTGTAGCAACATACTATGTGGAGATAATTCATGGAGTTTAGAAAGAAACAACTGATTATAGATAAAGCAAAGTTGTTGTGTTTTTCCCCCCCAGAATATGACCGTTTAACTTTGGGTTAAAAAGAGAAAAGCCAAAATTCAGCTTGTTGCATACAGATGTAGGAATGCATCTTGTGATGATGGTGCATTTGTGGTTCTGGATGGGTCATGTAAGCATTTTGAATCATAGAAAATATGGATGCAAATTATCTCAGGAGGTTATTTAGTCCATACCTGGGCCTCAAGGCAGGATCAGCTATCCCTAAACTATCCCTGGTGCACACTTTTTTCTAAGTTGCTCTTAAGTGCCTTCAGTGATGCATTTTGAGAGCAGGTGAACAATCTTGTGTCAAGATGGCAGGGGACTGAGGTCTGTTATGGTTGGTATGGGAGAGGAGTGTGGAATTTGAGCAACAGAAAAGCAAATTTATATTAAATCTCAGATAAAGCTTCCTAACTGTAAAAATGAGGTAACAACGTTGTCTAGGGAAGTTGTGGAATCTCCTTTGTTGGAATTTTTTAAGAAGAGACTGGGTAGGAACCTGACTGACAATTTAGGGGAGTGAATCCTACATCTGTAGTGGAGTCTGGACTAGATAACCCTTAAGGTCCCCTTGAAATTTATGATTTCACAGATTTTTCTCAGTCTCTCTATTCTAGTGCTTAACTTAAAACTGACCGTTTTAAAGTACTTCTTTATGTCTAACTGAAATTTTCTTTGCTGCAATTTAAACTCTGTAAAGTACTTCTCCCATTCCCAGTGAACACGGAGAACAGTTTACAGATCTCTTCGCTGCATTCATCTCTGACATTGAAACCTGTTGTTATGCTTTCTCTCAGTCTTCCTGTTTGAAGATTAAACAAACCCACTCTATATTTCATTGTAGCTGGGGGCCACTGGAATTCAGGCTCTGGTGGGTGGAAACGCGCCCTCTCTGCAAGTTTATCGGAGCCAATTTCAAGCTTTTCAGAGTGGACTCTCCCCTGCCTCTACCACTGAACAGCAACATGGAGGCTATTCTTTAGCTGTTTTAAGGAAGTAAAGCTCACCACTTATTAAACAATACCTTTTAAGTAAGGGGAGGGGGAAATTCCCCTCCACTTCCAGGCAGCAGCAAAGCAAAGCAGGTCTTGGGAGAGCTGTGCCAGGAGCGGGGAAGCCCTTGTGGTGGGGGCACCCTGTGCCTAAAACTGGACTCAGCTTTTTGGCTGAAGCCTTTCCAGTGCTGTGTCTTGCACTCAGCAGTCCTGTTTACACATGCCAAAAATGTAGTTTTCTGCTTTCTGTCCCCAGCAGTAGGACGTTGTTGGCTTGTATGTAGTTTGTGTTCTGTTATAGCTCCCAGATCTCTTCAGAAGTGCTGCTGATAGTGAGTTAATCAACTAGAATTCATATACCATACATAGACAAATTCACCAAACTATTTTGTTTCTCATCTTACTTCTCTCCACCCTTTAAAGAGTCAGATGAACAAAGAGAAGCCAAGCTGTCAGGTTTTGATTTTTTTTTCTTTAAGACATTAAAAATCAGAAGTGTGCCTAACCACTTTTCTTAAATTTTAGTAAGACTTTGAAAAATAGAAACTTGAAGTTAGGTTCCTGGATTCATATACAGGCTGTCAAAAAAGCCTTAAATCAGTAATGTACTTCAGTATATTTTTAGGGCACGTGTGAACAGTTCCATTGACCTCAGTGAAATAAATTGTGCACTTGTGTTTAATTACATGCTCAAGTATTTTGCTGAAAGAAAACTGATCCAAAGTTTATGACCTTTAACAAGTCTTTCCTCCAGTGGGCTCTGGATCCAGCTCTTTAATCACCTGATTTTCAAAAGAACTGACTCAGCAGCCAGAAACTCTTACTGAAATAAATAGGAGCTCCAGGTGTTTGGAACTTTTTATTTATTTATTTGTTTAGGCTTTCAGATACCTTGGTTTTAATATAATTTGTGATAGAAATTATCATCATCAGTAAGGGACTAACTGATCAAAAAATCTGTTCCTTTGAATCAAACGTTGGTGAAGGTGTTATTTAAATTAAAACTCTTTGGTGTCAAACAATAAGCAATGCAGTTGATAATCTAGTGTTCTGCCAATAGCAAAGTGTATGTTTTTAATATAGGTCTTTAATTCCAATTGCAATCTTTGCTGTCCGGTGGAGATTCACTCATACTAAATTAGACTTAAGAAAAAATGTTAGTGTTGGAAGGACAAACGTTGTCAGCAAAGGAAAGCAGTTGAAAGAATATGCTTTTGAAGGCTAAATACTTGAGAGAGAATCCCACTTAAGGAATGAGCAGACTTTCAAGCTATGTTATCAAGTTATGCAACATACCAAGTACTTGTGTAAAGGTCCTATGGTATCTGGATGTTATCAGCTTATTGTTCGTATATGTACGTATGAGAGAGAACCTGGAACCCCAGTAGGTGTACAGAGCAGAGCGCAGTATTGATCTTTACATATTTCCCCTAATCTGTTTACTCAAAGTACAGATAACAGTGGGATTGCAAAAGTACATTAAATAAATTGTGAGATTCAGATTTTAACCGCGAAAGTGTGGACATACGCAGTTGCTAGAAGTTTCTGGTCAGCTCTGTATCATAAACATCTACCTATAAACACTTGGAAGCAAAACTGGAGGCAGCAAATAAACACACACTTTAGGTTTGACTAACAGTAGTCTCAGGGCTCTAAATTGGATAAAAGCCAGATGAAAACTGTAAAGTCATTAAATGAAAGGCACTTCTGAAGTTCTGCTGCAGTCTCCTTAACCTTTCCCAAACTTTTCTCTTTTGTTGTTCAGGAGAGTGAGTGCAAAGCTCTTCTGTAGTTGTTGGAAATAAACTGAATTGCTGCTACCTTTAAAAGTTATGGAATCCAGAAAAATGAATTCAAAGGAAGTGTTAGCAATATTATCTTATACAGTAAAATCCCAGTTATCTGGCATGAGTGGGGAATGGGGGGTGCCGGTAACCTAAAAATGCCAGTTACCTGAGGCACAACAGTTTCCAGCGGACATGGAGTGGAGGGGCGGGGGAGGGGAAGAGGTGGTGCCAGTGGTGGTTGGTGGTGGCGGCCACCTTGTGTGAGCTTCCTGCCCCTGCCTGCAGCCAGCCGGCCAGAAATTCCAGTTAATAGTATTCTGATTACTCAAGTGCTGGATAACAGGGATTTTACTGTGTTTGGAAATCCTGTGAATAAGATGCATCTTAAATTTTATATTTTCAGCCCTTTCCTGAAAAGCCGTTGAAAAATTTAATGAAGAAAAAACAGATTTTAATCTTGAAGGCTGATATGTTGTGGCTGTGTCTGTATTCCCCACTACATAGCCTGGGACCACCACTGAGAAGTAATCTGGACTTGTGCTCCTACTTTGTGTACATTAAAGCCTGCCAATTAGGCAAAATATTGGGGTCCAGAGTACATACCCAAGCCCTGCTTTGTTACTTGAGAGAGACTGACGGTGGCACTGGGATGCTAGGTGCGTTGAAGGCTGACCCTTTAATGCATCTGAGCTTGGGCTGAAGTAGGAATGAGCATGTGGAGCTTGTGTTTTGGCCAGAAGACAGGATAAATCTAGCCAGAGATTTCTTTTGCGTGGTGGTATCCAGCATCCTTCCACCCCAAAAAGTGTCTTTTCTACAGTGCTCCCTTTCATTTTTTAACAACTTTCTAATACAAGGGCAGTGCATATAATGATACTGTCATTTTTCTATCTCAGTCTTTGATTTATTTGTTCTGTCTGAGGCTGCAACATCCATAGCATCCTCCTTGTGCTATTTTAGCTTGCAAAACTCCTCTTTGTAGCTAAGTCTCCAGCTATAAGAATAATTACATTTGTTGAAATGTTATCTGTGTAGACTTTTACTTGTTAGGCTGACGTTCCGAGAATTTTTATTCTTAAGTGTTTTTATTAAGTTTGGTCATAAACTTTGAAAATGTTGTTGGGCATGTGGAGAGTGAATAAATATAACATTTTCTTCTACTTAAAAAATCTTTAAAAAAAGTCACAGTTGATCAAGGACAGAAGGCTTAGGAGAAACCTCTTTTGCCTGTTGTGACAAATTATGTTTAACTTGGTTAAATTCTGGGTCAACTTTACAAATTTCAGCTTGCTTATCTGCACTATATTAACCATGCTAGTGGCATTTCTTACAACAGTCTTCCAGTGTGGAAGGTAGGTTACCTTTTATCTGTACTACAGCAGGAGGGCCAGAATGATCCCTTGCCACCTGACTCTGGTGTATTATAGGTAGAGATGCCCCGCCCCCAGAGCCCCCGGTGTCTGATTGCAGTATGGCACGGGGATAGCACCCCCTCTGAAGCCCCAGGCAGCTCACTGGTGTGACTCAGGGGGTTACCCCTGCTGCCAGATCCAAAGGCTTTGTGGACCAGGGCTAGCCTCCAGGGTGTAGGTTGCTGACCCCTCTTTTAGAGAGGCAGCTTGAGCACGCAGTTTGCTGCTGCTTTCTTGTATTTGTCTAACACCTTTACGATGTATCTGGACCATTAAAATTGCATACATGTTAAGCCTCCCACACTTTTTTTTTTTTTCTTTCACAGAACTATGAATTGTTGAAATGACTTAAAATGTTAACAACTTGAAATGTCAGAAGTAGAAATTAACAGAGAATGCTAGATGCAAAACTGCTAATTGCTATGATCTCCCACTTCTCTTAGGCTCTCCGTTATTTGGCAGAATGTCGTGCCAACAGAGAAAAGATGAAAAGTGAACTGGGTATGATGCTGAGCTTACAGACTGTAATACAAAAGTAAGTCTTGGGTGGGCTGCTACTTGTGGCAGTGGGTCATACTGTTTTGTGCAATGAGTTAATGTGAAATACAACTTTATTGCCTGGATTATATAATGGATTTCATAAGTGCTGCCTTCATTTGTTCCTCTACTGAGTTATATGGTTAAATGCAATGAAAAATATGAATTTCATGCAATATATCTAATACAGGGTTTTTTACACCAGTATAAGCATTCAGTTCAGAAGAGATTGCCTAGTGAGGAGAGTTGCTTGAACTGCTTTTTTCTGGCAGTATCCACAGATAGTCTAAATTAGTTAAACTTACATGGTCACTTACCCTTTTCTGACATTTCCACCAAAGAATACTACTTAGGGTAGTGATTTTGTGTTACAGAAAAACCTATCTCCTGGGATCTAGATTGAGGCCATAAACCCATTACACCAACCACCTTACCCATATATATTGAAATATTCAGGATTTGAACAGAAACTAGAGTTGAGAAGTTTCTTGCCCCCTTATTGGTCCTTTGCAGCTCTGATTCAGAGAAGCACTTGTATTTGATTAGTCTTAGTGGTCCTATTGAAATAATTTCATATGTACATTAAAGTGGGCTAGTATTTGAGTACCTTTCTGAACTGAGACCCAAGTAAGACCAAATGGAAGGATTTCTTAAGACCAGTGCCTCAGTTTGAAAAGTAATGAGATAACTACTAATTGGCTGAAAGACAAAAGTGAATAACTTGCATTCTAAGGATAGCTGGATTGGGGTATTTTAAGTAACAATCCTTCCTTTTATCCATTATCAGTGGAGCTGGTGAAGAGGTGAAATATTTTCATATAACATTAAACAAAATGCACTTGTTTTTAAAGTATGATGGCTCTCAATTTCTGGAAGAAATTTGATTTCCTGAAATTTGCCCAAAAGTACAGTTTAAAAAAAAAAAAAAAGGAAAAATATGCTTGGATCATCTTTTACAATTGGCTCAGTACCTGTAACACTGTTTCATCTAAAATTAAATGGTTCATGAAATTGTTCATCCTTGAGCATGTGCCTCAGCCACAGCAGGAGCTCTTGAGAAGAGGGTTAGAATCCTAGAAAAATCAAGCTGGACGTGACCTCAGGATGTCATGTAGTTTAACACTCCTGTGCAAGGCATGACCATCTCTCCTAAACCACTCCAGACAAGTGTTTGTATAGCCTGCTTTTAAATTTTCAAGTATACAAATTCCATACCCTCTCTATTCCAATGCTTCATGGCTCCCATAGTGAGAAAATTCATACAATTAGGCCCCCTCTTCGTGTTCAGGTAAAGATGCAATGGGATCTAATGCAAGATCCATACAATCAAGTGTGATTGTGGAATTGCATATTGGATCCCAGGCTCCCCCTGCACTGGCAAGAAGCAAGCCCCACGTACCCTTGAGCCTGGGGGATTGGGGCAGTCGATCCCCCAGGCATGGGGGTTTCATGCTAGAAGCCACTGTTGATGCAGGGGAGACTCTGCTACACTTGCAAATTAAAGCTCAGTAGCAACCAGATGTAAAGTTAATATGCGTTTCTGAGGTTTAACTTTATAGCTGATTGAAGTTTTTTATCATGTGATAAGTATTATGCACATGTAGCTGGTCTTAAGGTAACTGTGCAGTTAACCAGTTAATTGTGCAATACCTGTAACATGTAGAGGGGGCCTTATTCAACCAAAATTTCCCACATAAGCATTTAAATCTACCATCAGGCTCACACGCGTGGTGTCTCGCTATGTTAGTCTGAAGTCAGGCAGAGCTGGTGCCACCCTGTCCTACCTTCATCCTCTGTCTAGCCACCCTTCAGATATTTGAAGGCTAATATCAAATCTTGTCTTGGTCTTGTTTTACCCAGACTAAATAATCCTAAATCTTCCAACCTGTTCTTGTAAGTCATGTTTTCTTTGTGTCGCTTTCTGGTGGAGTCTTTCTTATTTATACAGGTATTTTTTTTTTAATCCAGTACTTAAAAATGGTCAGTTTTCTAGGTGAGGCCTCATCCCTGATGAAAAGCTTACTTAAAAAGCTAATTAAAAGTTTAAGGTCTTGGAAGTCTGGAGCACAATAAAAAAGCAATAAATTGCAGCTTGGGAGGAGAGATCAAACAATGCCTTAAGGTTCAGATTATTTAAGAAATCAGAAATGGGTGGGTATTACCCTAGAATGAGGAAAACTGAGGTAAGAAACTGAGGAAACTGGTTGCAGTCAATAGAATTTCTGATTAAATCAGTACTATATTCATTGCTTTCTTACACTTGTGTAGCATCCATCTTAAAGCTTTGTTAGGCTCTTTTGCTGCCACTGTGATAGTAATAAAGTTAGATGTATGCCCATGTGGGATAATGTGAGGGGCAAGGATTTTTTTGAGGTGATGCCTTTTATTGAACTAACTGCATGTTCTGCTTTTTCTTCTTATGTTGGATGGCTGTCATCAGATATTTTTAGTAATATGGTACAGTCTGCTGGATAGTAGTTAGGTTATCTCTTAGTTTAGTATGTCCTGTTTAAGTTGATCCCTTTTGGAGCAGGTTAAGTGAAGAAGATGGCATCTCAGGTTTTTTTTCCCTGAAGTTCTCCTGCATAGTTGTTGCATGTATGGAGTTGTGTGCATTAGCTAGAGGGTTGCAGGCGAGTCCCCTTGGATTGATGTTTGTTTCTTGTATAGGCTTAGAAATGTTGCTGTGTAGTCCATCTTTTTTCTTTAGATTGTGGATTTTCTACTGTAAGTTACAGATTTTGATATTTGCCCTATTGTGGTATCATTAATGATGTAGTTGTGATGATCCAGGAATTGAGAGAGGCAGGGATGTTTTGGGGGTAATATCTTTTATTGAACCAACTGCATGATAGTCCATATCTGACTTCTGATAGTAAGTGAGGCTGAATATTACCCTCCATTAAGGCTCAATAGTTTTTCACTTGTCATTTCTCTTATTTCCTCTTTTTCTCCAAAATAATAATTCCCAGCCCATCCCTTTCCATTATCCATTTCGCCAAACTGCAGGCTGCAGTGATGGTAGAGTGACAGCCATTTTTAAATCAGTCACATAACACTATTTTTTAGGCACATGTATGTCCTCCTGTCACAAACCATACAGCAGTGGGGTGTAGAGCTCAGCCCATGACAGGCACGTGCCCCCCCGGGAATTCTCCTGAGGTGCGTGCAGTGGTGGGAGACCCCCCTGCGCCCTTGGACAAACTGCCTGGGCTCTGACCATCCCATGATCTGCCTTGGGGCCCCACTCACCCCAGCCCCTGCCCCATTCCTTCCCTCCGTCCCTGTGGGGGCCTCAGTCTAACTCCCCCGCCCCCAGTTCTTTTTCCCTGATTGTACTTGTTGTGATGACAGTGCTCCACACGCTGTCTGCCTGCAGTCCTGGTTGCGTGCAGGCTCCGTGTCTGTCTGTATGCCCTTCTTCCCCCCACCCCCAATACAGTCGCCCGGAGCCTGCGCCTAAACTGCCTTGTGGCCCTCTGTGCTGCCCCGCATTTGCGGGGGGCTAAGCTGCTTATGTTTGCAACCCTTAAAAATCGCTGTGTGGGGTGAATTTTGTGGTTTCCACGCAGTCCACAAAATCGTGATTTTTCTCAGGGCCCTATCTGTAAGGTCCCACATTGCCCTGTCTTCTCCCTAACTTCAGACTAACATGGTTAACTGCTTTGCTTTGCAGACTAGGGAAGTGTTCTTCTGGGAGTTAGATTTCCCAAAACTTTTCAGAAAGCTCCAGCAGGCAAGAGAAGTCTTGACGAAGTGCCAGTCAACTCCAGTCGAGGAGAAATATGTGGCTTGTCTAGATAGTCTCCATGCCTTTCCCAGGACCATCACTGAAAAGCATGCTCTTTTTATATGCTCCCACTCAGTGCATACCAAATCCCGGAAAAAAGGCAGAGTAGCCAGCTGGGATCAGTCTTCAATGCAGATGCTTGCTTCCTGTCACAGCATGTGCTCATAGTTCCTTTAAGTCACCTATACTATTTCATTTTCATTTGCATGTGCTAAGTGAGCATTTGTGCTTCTTAGTAGTGGTCCCAGATGCAGGGTGAAGGCAATGTAGACATGCCCAGGTTCTTTAATTACAGCAAAAGCAGTGTAGCTTGTAAACCATCCATGTGTCAGCTAACAAGTGTCACAGTGCCACCTCTTTCTTTGCCCTTAAACAGGGAGCAAGTCTACACTGGTACAGAGATTGCAGGTAATGGGAAGGAAATATTTTCGTGGGCATGGGAGAAGTACCACATTTGCTAACTGTAATTCTATCTTAGTCCCCTTCATGCCACACTTAACAAATAATTGGTCCTGTAGAACTTTCAGTTCAGTTTTTTAACATTTATTATATAGTCCGTGGTTTATCTCAGCAGTGAAAGCTATTCCATTCTTTAAACTGGCTACTGGGCAGACTCGCTATTTGTTATTTCATAGTTAAGGACTCAAAAAGGAGTATTACAGTTGCTGTTACTTCATTTTACATTGTGTAGAAAAGCTGATCTCTTGCTATCCCAGAAATAACAGTAACCATTGGAGGTCACAGGTACTCTATGAAGGCTGAGGGCTTTGTATGGTTGATTCTTCTTTCCTTAAGAATTAAGCCCTTTGTCTTTCACAACCTCCTCCTTTCTTTTGCAGTTGAGAATCTAGGTGTCTTCAGGAGAGGGATGAACAAATATACTTAAATACCAATCTTTTATACTTTCTTCTTTGTAGTGTTCCAAGGTTGTTATAAGATACAAGTCCTATTATTCAATATGTTATAAATGCATAGGAAAATATTCCTCCAATCTCAAGAAACTTGCCATCTCTTCCAGTTGGGGGGGAGGGTCAGTGGGTGATGGGCATAGCAAGAGAGGGAGTATGTGTGTGTTCAAATAATTAAAAAAAAAAAAAAAAAAGAGGAGAAATGGAGAATTGCCTCAGAACAAAGTCCTTCAGTGTGTTCCAGAAGATATCAGCAGGTCTTTAATGTTAATCTTGTGTAGTCATTGGCTTTATGAATGG